CTCACCTCAGCCTCCCAAAGGCACGGGATTACAGGCTGAGCCACCGAGCCCGGCTCTTTCCTCATTCTTTTGGGTCAGATGAGGGTCACATGAGTCATTAACCCCTCAATAAACTGAAAAACTGATTATCTGCTTATGAGGAAGTTTCAGGTGCAATAAGTATTGCAAATAGCTAATAAGGGCCTAAGGAAAGTACCCAAAACAAATGAAATTCTGGCAAACCCAGTGGTACTCAGTATTGTGACCATGAGCAATGAGGATGACATTGATGATATAAACAGCCCCTGTCAATTTTAAACTGTGCCGGGCTCGGTGGCTCAGCCTGTAATCCCGTGCCTTGGGAGGCTGAGGTGAGTGAATTGCCTGAGCCCGAGGGTTTGAGACCCGCCTGGGCAGCGAGACCTCATCTCTACAATAAATAAAAAAATCAGCCGGGCGTGGTGGCGCATGCCTATAATTCTGGCTACTGGGAAGGCTGAGGCGAAAGGATCGCCGGAGCCCAGTAGGTGGAGGCTGCGGTGGCCGGGAGCGGCCACTGCACTCCAGTCTGGGCGACAGAGCGAGACTCCAACTCAAAAAAAAAAAAAAAATTTTTAAACTGCATGTGCACATGTTCTTTTATTTGATCCCAACAATCTGGTGATACATATTATTATTCAGATAAACATTACCCTCTTTTTACAAATGAAGAAATTTAAACATGAAGTGCCTAAATGATTTGAGAGAAATAAAACAAATTAGCTCTGTTTTACCTAAGTTTATTCTTTTTTGGAAGGAAATGGTAATCTTTACCTTCTATCACTCCACAGTTCTTTTTGTAACACAAACTATGACCTTGGCACACGATAAATGTTTGAAGATATTGGTACTGTTGAAACAGTGGTTCAGCTTATATCTCAAGTCCAATATTACCATAATTTCTCTGAGATTTCTAGAGCAAAGAATGTATTCCTACTTTGGACTTGCCTCCCTTTCAAACACTGAGCTTTGTATTTATCTCAGATTCAAATGCAGTCTCATGTCAACATGTTTTGCAATGACAGAGTAACTCAGTCTATTCATGATTAGATGGCGAACATCACTTATTAGGGTATGGTGTACAAATAGATGATATAATCTGAAGGCTCAGAGGTTTTCCTGGCTTCTAAAAGGACTCTTTCCCTGGGCTCAGTTATCCACTGATAACACAAAGTACTAAGACTTTACTTGTCCTTGTGGATTGGCCTGAGAGAGGTTATACTTGTTACTTCTCCAACATCACTCCACTTGTTTATTCTATGGGATAATATGATTCACAAAAAAAAAAAAAAAAAAAAGGAATTTGCAGCCTGATGATTTGACCTTGAGTTCCGATTCAACCAATTACTGCTAAGCATGTGACCATGGGCAAGCCATTTAACCCCTCAGAGTCTCAATTTTCTCAGCTGTAAAATGCAGATAACAATACAAAACTCACAGGTGGCTGGGCACGGTGGCTCAAGCCTGTAATCCCAGCACTTTGGGAGGCCAAGGCTAGAGGATTGTCTGAGTCCAGCGGTTTGAGATCAGCCTGGACAACTTGGTGAGACCCCCTTCGCTAGAATATATCGAAAAAATTAGCCAGGCGTGGTAGCGTGCGCCTGTAGTTCTGGCTACTTAGAAGGCTGAGGCAGAAGGATCACCTGAGCCCCCCCAACAGGTTGACACTGGGGTGGCCGTGAGCATGCCACTGCACTCCAGGATGGTGATGGAGTGAGACTCCAACTCATTAAAAAAAACAAAAACAAAGCCGGGCTCGGTGGCTCAGCCTGTAATCCTGCGCCTTTGGGAGGCTGAGGTGAGTGAATTGCCTGAGCCCACGGGTTTGAGACCCGCCTGGGCAACTTGGTGAGACCTCATCTCTACAATAAATCAAAAAATCAGCCGGGCACATGCCTGTAATTCCGGCTACTTGGAAGGCTGAGGTGGAAGGATCGCCGGAGCCCAGCAGTTCGAGGCTGCGGTGGCCGGGAGTGGCCACTGCACTCCAGTCTGGGCGACAGAGTGAGACTCCAATTCTCAAAAAAAAAAAACAAAAAAAAAACAAGCCGGGTTGCTGGCTCAGCCTGTAATCCTGCACCTTTGGGAGGCTGAGGTGAGTGGATTGCCTGACAATAATAAATAACTAATCTTTTATTACAAAAGTAATAAATATTCACTATGAAATCTTTTAGAAAATATAGGTAAGCTGAAAAGAGAAAATAAAGATCACTTGTAAAACCACCTCCTAGATCAGGGTTCTCAACCTTTAACAGGTGTCAGAATTCTTGGAAGGACTTGTTACAACACAGATTGCTGGGCTCCACTTCTGGGGTTTCTGATTCTATATTTCTGTGGTGGGCATGATGGGGCCCATTAATTTGTATTTCTCTCTTTTTTTTTTTTTTCCGAGTTGAGGTCTTGAAGTCTCATTCTTTGCCAAGACTGGAATGCACAAGGCCACTGAAGCGTCAACCTGCTAGGCTCAGGTGATCTTTCCATCTCAGCCTTCCAAGTAGCTGGAACTACAGGCATGTGCAACGATGCCCAGCTAATTTTTTTATTTATTGTAGAGACAAGGTCTCACTAAGTTGCCCAGATTGGTCTCGAATACCTGGACTCAGGCAATCCTCTTGCCTTGGCCTCCCCAAATGCTGGGATCACAGGCTTGAGCCACCGTGCCTGGCCAGAATTTGTATTTTTAAAAAGTTCTCGAATGATGCTAATGTTGCAAATCTATACATATACAATATATTTTAATTATAAAATATATACTTATAAAAACATTATTTCACACTATTGTGTGACCTTTTTCATTCAAGAAATCCTTCTTTGCGCATTTGTTTTTCTATATGTGCTTTGTGCTGCAGCTAAGCGGGCTCAGAGAGCAAGGAAGGAGGTTGCCGACCATCTGGCTGCTGGGAAGGAAGAACGAACTCAGATCCATGTGGAGCACATTATCTGGGAAGACTACCTCTTGGAGACCATGGAGATCCTGGAGCTGTTCTGTGACCTGCTACTAGCTCGGTTTAGCTTGATTCAGGTCACAAAGTGAGTGCATCTTTATGCAGGTTCAGAGGAGTGACAAGGTATTCCGCTCACCTGGTGAGGGAGAAAGTGGGCTCAAACTTGTTGAGGTTGTTGAAGAATTTTGTCTCTGATTTTCTTTTTTTTTTTGAGTTGGAGTCTCATTCTGTTGCCCAGGCTGGAGGGCAGTGGCATACTCACAGTCATCACAGCCTCGACCTGCTGGACTCAGGCAATCCTTCCACCTCTGCCTTCCAAGTAACTGGAATTACAGGCATGTGCCACCATGCCCGGCTAATTTTTCTTGATTTATTGTAGAGATGAGGTTTTGCCAAGTTGCCCAGGCTGGTCTTGAACCTGTGGGCTCAGGCAATCCTCTCATCTCAGCCTCTCAAAGTGCTAGGATTATAGGCATGAGCCATCACACCCACACGGTGGCTGTAATTTCAGCTACTTGGAGGGCTGAGATGGAAGGATCACCCAAGACCAACAAGTTGAGGCTGCGGTGGCTGTGAGTGTGCCACTGCACTCCAGCCTGTGTGATAGAGTGAGACTCCAATTAAAAAATAAAATAAAATAAAATAAAAATAAAAGAAAGATGGCTTTTCTAAGTGGTCACTTCATCAAATAAGGACCATTCTAGGAATTTGGTAAGACCAAAGAAAACAAGCAGAAAAACTACCAAAAATAACTTCCAAAAGCTCCAAGAATCTTGCTAATGAATGTGCAAGTGTGTTGAGGCAAAGAAAGTTTATGCACCTTTACTATTTTTATTTCCTCCCACTGACTTCTTCATTTCCCACTATCAAAGTTCTTCATTAAAGGCTCATGTGTGGGCTGGTCGTGGTGGTTTATGTCTGTAATCCCAGCACTTTGGGAGGCCAAAGCGACAGGATTGCCTTGCCTAAACTCAGGGGTTCGAGATCATCCTGAGCAACATGGCAAGACCTCATCTCTACAATAAATCATAAAATCAGCTGGGCATGGTGGCGCACACCTGGAATTCCAGCTATTGGAAAGCTGAGGCAGAAAGATGACCTGAGTCTGGCACATCAAGACTGTGGTGGCCTTGAGCATGCCACTGCACTTAAACCTGGGCAGAAGAGTGAGATTCCTACTCACAAATAAATATATACTTTTCTATTTTATTTTACTTTATTATTTTTTATTAAGTTGGAGTCTCACTCTGTCGCCCAGGCCGGAGTGCAGTGGCACGCTCACGGCCTCCGCAGCCTCGACCTACTGGACTCAAGCAATCATTCTACCTCAGCATTCCAAGTAGCCGCAACTACAGGCACTTGCTACCACGCCAAGTTAATTTTTTGATTTATTGTAGAGACGAGGTCTCGCCAAGTTGCCTGTGCTGGTCTCGAACCCGCAGGCTCAGGCAGTCCACTCGCCTCGGCCTCCCAAAGTGCTGAGATTACAGGCTGAGCCACTGAGCCCGGCTATTTTTCTTTTTTTTTTTGAGTCGGAGTCTCACTCTGTCTCCTAAGCTGGAGTGCAGTGGCACGCTCATGGCCACTGCAACTTCGACTTACTAGGGTCAGGTGATTCTTCCGCTTCAGTCTTCCAAGTAGCTGGAACTACAAGCATGCACTACCACACCTGGTTTGTTTTTTAAAATAATCTATTGTAGAGATGAGGTTTCACCAAGTTGCCCAGGCTGCTCTCAAACCCCCGAGCTCAGGCAGTCCTCTTGCCTTGACCTCCCAAAGTGTTGGGATTACAGGCTTGAGCCACCATGCCTGGCCTTATAAATTTTTCAAAAATGAAAGCCTAGGCAGTGTTGCAGGTCATTCATTGCTCCTGCAAGATGGTATTGAGTTTGTTGATCTCTGAATCAGAAGTTTACCTAACTGCAAGTTTCATAGTCTCAAAGTCATACAGGATTTTATTCTTTTTTTGATCCAGTGTGTGTTGTAACTATTCAAAAAATTCCTTCACTTTATTTAAGTCTTTAGTCAATAACTGTAGGGAGTTCCTCTTGCTAGTTTCCAAAGTACCCAAGTGAGAAAGAGCATCTCCTCAACACTGTGTCTCAAAGCTCTAGAAGAGGGACTCAAAGGCATCCTTTTCCCAAGCATAGGTGTCTTTAATAGAACAGAAGACATGCTTGGAGTGGTCACCATGAGTAGTGCAGATCTCCCAAATTAGCTGCATATCAGTCAGGCAGAGAATGTTGAGAGGTATTAAGTTTCCTTTGGACACTGGTATTTTGAGAGAGATCTTGATTTTGTTTTATTTCTCCACAATACCCTTCAGGAAGTAATTAGCCTGCAGTCTATTGACTCCAGGAGCTGGCTTCCATACAGCACCTGGGCACTTGAATGGAGATGGTCTCCACAACAAATTTCACAAATTCCCCTCTAAGATACCTTCTAAGCTTTTTTTTTTTTAAAGTTGTGTGAGCAAGGCAAAACTCAAGGATTATCAAACAGACTATAACAAATTGGGCACATGAGATCTTCTTCCAGAATCTACAACACATGCTTTGTCTCCTGAGTAAGGTTACTATCTCCCAGGGCAAAGCAATCAGATTTATCTCCAGATATAGAGATAAAAATTGTGGTATAGCCAGGCTCGGTGGCTCAGCCTGTAATCCTGCGCCTTTGGGAGGCTGAGGTGAGTGGATTGCCTGAGCCCGTGGGTTTGAGACCCGCCTGGGCAGGCGAGACCTCATCTCTACAATAAATCAAAAAATCAGCCGGGCGTGGTAGCGCATGCCTGTAATTCCGGCTACTCGGAAGGCTGAGGCAGAAGGATCGCCGGAGCCCAGCAGGTCGAGGCTGCGGTAGCCGGGAGGGGCCACTGCACTCCAGTCTGGGCGACAGAGTGAGACTCCAACTCAAAAAAAAAAAAAAAATTGTGGTATCTTTCATTTTAGTCTATATATGTATATGTAACTGTGTGTGTATAAACATACATACATGTGTATAAACATATACATTTAAATATAAGTTTATATTCCAATTTTAGGTTTTTGTTTGTTTGTTTGTTTTTCTTTTCTTTCCTTAGGGAACTAGATTCTGGTCTGGCTGAATTTGTATCTACACTTATCTGGACAGTGCCTCAGCTGCAGTCAGAGATGCCTGAGTTGAAAATAGTAAGTTTCACCAGTTCTAACTGTCTGAGCCATTGTCGTAGCTGAAAGTATTGCTAGTATTACTTGTTTAGAATTGTAGAATTAGCCAGGCTCGGTGGCTCAGCCTGTAATCCCAGAGCTTTGGGAGGCTGAGGTGAGTGGACTGCCTGAGCCAGTAGGTTCGAGACCCGCCTGGGCAACTTGGCGAGACCTCATCTCTACAATAAATCAAAAAATTAGTCGGGCATGGCAGTGCATGCTTGTAGTTCCAGCTACTTGGAAGGCGGAGGCAGAAGGATCGCCAGAGCCCAGCAGATTGAGGCTGCGGTGGCCAGGAGCGGCCACTGCCCTCCAACCTGGGTGACAGAGTGAGACTCCAACTCAAAAACAAACAAACAAACAAAAAAACTGGATTTGTCTTGGGGAGGAGTATCATAATTTATAAGGTATTTAGAATGTCAGTTTCACATTTATCAGATACTTTATTTATTTTATTTTATTTTATTTTTTTAGAAAGCAGGATTTAGCTGGGCTTGGTGGCTCAGCCTGTAATCCCAGCACTTTGAGAGGCAGAGGTGAGAGGATTGCCTGAGCTCACAGGCTCCAGACCAACCTGGGCAACATGGCAAGACCTCATCTCTACAATAAATAAAAAAAAAAAAATTAGCTGGGAGTGGTGGCGCATGCATGTAGTTCCATGTGCTTGGAAGGTTGAGGCGGAAGGATCACCTGAGCCCAGCAGGCGGAGATTGTGATGGCCATGAGCATGCTATTACACTCCAGCCTGGGCAACAGAGTGAGACTCTGACTCAAACAAAAACAAAACAAAGTATTTGTTTTTTGTTTTGATGCTAAAAGGCTATAATTCCAATATGGTAACATGGAAGTGATTTTTGCCATTTCAACTTTTCATCTAAAGCATAATTTGATGAATTTTATTTTCTTTCTTGGTGATGGTTTGCTGCAGGTATCTGATCAGCTTTGTGCAAAATACAGCCAAGAATATGGTCAGCTGTGTCAAACCAATGAAATTGGAGCTGTCAGCTCTCAGGTACCATTTCCAGAGACATGCATTTTTCTAAACCTAGAAGTCTAGGGAAAGTTGAGCAACCATAGAGCATAGAACTTTGTGCAGAATGAGAGATGTTTAGAAGTAAGCTTTGCATTGGAGGCAGAGCTACTTGGATAAAGATCTTGACTAGGGAATTGAACTCAGATCTTTGTTAAAAAGCTTAAGCCAAGGTTTGGCATGGTGATTTACGCCTGTAATCCCAGCACTTTGGGAGGCAGAGGCGAGAGGATTACCTGAGCCCACAGGTTCAAGACCAGCCTGGGCAACATGGCGAGATATCTTCTCTACAATAAATCAAATAATTAGCTGGGCGTAGTGGCACATACCTGTAGTTCCAACTACTTGGAAGGTTGAGGTGGAAGGATGCCCTGAGCCCAGCACGTCGAGGCTGCGGTGGCTGTGAGTGTGCCTCTGCACTCCAGCCTGGGCGACAAAGAGTGAGACTCCAACTCAAAAAAAAAAAAAGAAAGAAAGAAAAGAGGATGATTTATGTCCCAGGTAAGCAAGATGGCTTGAGATGTCATTATACTACTCAGAATGGCATGTAATTGAAAACTTATGTTTATTTTTAGAATTTTCCATTTAATATTTTCAGACTGCGTTTGTGCGTACCTGACACTATGGATAAGGGAGAACTGTTGTACATCTTAGACAACAGAGAATGGAAAGATAAAGAACAATGATTCAGGTTTGAAAGGTCAACTAAACTCTGTTTCTTGTTTTCTAGGTATGTGTGTGACCAGATCTGTGGTATTCTTTATTTTACAGCTAATTTGTAAATTTTTTTTTTTCAGTTAGAGTCTCATTCTGTCACCCAGGCTGGAGCACAGTGGTATAATCATAGCTCACTGCATCCTTGAATTCCTGAACTCAAGTGATTCTCCCACCTCAGCCTCCCAAAGCACGATATTACAGGCTGAGCCACCTAACCCAGGTTTGAAAATTAAATTAAATGTGAACTTGTAATTTGTAAATTAAATGTGAACACTCTACCCCAGGTACTAGTGGAACAGTACTTCACAGAAATTGCTAAGAACTATAATGTGTCCTATGCATCCAAGACATTCATGGTGAGTACTTTCAAGAAGGAAAAATTGACTTAAAGCTGAGTTATTTATTTATTTTTTTTGAGTTGGAGTGTCACTCTGTCACCTAGACTGGAGTGCAGTGGCTGCTCTCGGCCACTGCAGCCTTGACCTGCTGGGTTCCGGCGATCCTTCCGCCTCAGCCTTCCAAGT